ATAATAATAATAATAATAATAATACGGTAATAATAATAATAATAATAATACGGTAATAATAATAATAATAATAATAATAATAATAATAATAATATTTACACAAATTTATTGTAAATACTGAATCTGAACTGACTTATTTTAGAGTCTGAACATGACCTGAACATTGTGCAATACTCAAATGACCCGAAATAAATTAACTTATGTACTTTTTCTGATGATTAATTCCCAGAATTTTCTATTAATTACTCTCATGATCTCTGCAGGATGTACATTTTTCTTTTGTGAGTTTACTTCTAATTTTTACTTATATGATATATGTGTTACATGAGTATGGCCGCCAAGAGAGGAAACTGTAACAGGGGCAAGGGGTAACAGACATGCAAATTCTAAATGCTCCCTTGGTAAGCTTGGACCCCTATGATCTTCCCCCTGCACTGGCACTGTACATGAGTAATTATTTTCGTTGCACTCGCATTTTGCTTTGTGTATTTGCTTTTGCAAATTATCTTTACCTGAAACACTGTGTTCGTAATTAAATTGTCATGTTTTAGCTTATTTAGTAATAACATCATATATTTTATGGAATAAACATTGTTATCTTGATTAAATGTTACACTTATTACATTTTTACAAATAATTATGCTGTTACATCGAATGCATTGTTACATTAATTATTTCTATATTGATCACTTTGCTACATAATTGAATTGGTATCTTGAACATATGATTACAGTAATTACATTACTTTTATTGTTACACTGATTGCATCTTATACATTGATTATATTGTTACATAATTACATTGTTAAATTGGTTAAAGATGTATGGTCCCATGAAAAATACCAAACAAACCATAAAAACCTTTTATGAAATAAACTTGCTCATTGCTCATAAAAATTTACAACTTGAGCATAAAAATGTTTACCAATAATTTTACAGCCAAAAATGATAGCAACACTTCCAGTCACTGGAAGTGTTTTATTATTTTTATTATCATTATCTTTATTAAGTATAACAATCAGGTACACATTTTAAATGCAGTAATTTCTATGCTCAAGTGTTACAGAAAAATGAGCAAGTTAACAAATTATTTTTAATGATTTATTGTCATTTTCAGGGGACATTACATCTTTAAGCAATCCTGATTTCCATAAAATTCGCTACATGCTGTCACTGATGGCTTTTTTCAGTGACGCTTAGTTGGCCGAATGAGGTACGGTAGCCTTCTATGTAACCTACACAGTGTAGCGATTACAGTAAAAAAAAAAAGAACAAAAAAAAAAAACACTTTAGCGGCAGTGCAGCGATTTTATGTAATCATCTTTGCATTTTGAGGCTAAACGTACACTTGTTATATCCTGGATGAATTCTTCTTCACTGTCGACATCTAGTTTTGCATGCAATCTCAATAGAACCTCTTCGTCATTTAACATCATTCTCCAACTGAACTGGTGCCCGTACAATGTCCAATTAACTGAGCTATGTTGCATATACAACAAGTGACGCAGAGGCATAAGTAAATGCCAACCAACAAAACATCCCAAAAATAACTTAATTTTCAGAGAAACTTTTGGTTTTGAAAATTTTGTAGATTTGTTTTTACTCTGTTTATTATCTGTGTTATAAGTGTTATCTGTAGAAGGTATATTTTCTTGTATAGCAGATTGTTGTTTAGTATCAATTTTTAGATTCACCATTGATAAGAATTTTCTGAAGCCATTTCTAAATGATTCAGGAGGAACGAATAGAAAATTTGTCGTCAACATAACCCAAGGGAAGGTTCCAATGCTAAACAGAAAATGGTTAGAAACATGAAAAATCATCGTTAAAAAGAAACCAAAAGGTCTAAACCTTGACGAAACAAGTAAAATTCCGATAAATGTATCAAATATAAGACCCCCTAGACTCATGAAGTAGCCAATACATTTTATCACGAATGGTGTACTTGGTATTATACTTTGTGAATCAATTTTTGTAGACATCCACATTGTCATAGGTTCACCTCTAATGACCCAGTCATAATTCATTTTTGCAATACCTGCAAAGAAATAACAAACGACTACCATGAATTTGAATATAGATGTCTGCCACCGAGGAACGGTGGTGTCTGCCACTGACTTTTTGAGGAAACTATCGATTGAAAATCTGCGTCCACAATCTGTTACTGCAATCAAAAGCGCCAAATTTGCATAGAAATAGTAGTGGTTATTATAACGAGATTTTTCTAACGCATTAAACCATACATAACTTGTGACAAATACTGCTGCTGACAGTTTGGTAAACAGCCCGATCATCATTGTTATGGACGACAGAAGAATTGCCATGGTAATCGCGTATACAACTTCAATTCTTGGAGTTATGACGTTGTCTCGAGCTATTGGATAATGAAAGTTTAGCTCAGGAAAATTGAAGTTCGCATCTACAGTTGCTGCAAAAATGAGATATATTTTTTTAATGGTAAAAAATTAAACTACGCTACGCAATTAATCTGCCATACATAGGTGTCATCATCATCATCATCATCATCATCGTCGTCATCATCATCATCATCATCATCATCATCATCATCATCATCACCACCACCATTAACAACAAAAACATCATCATCATCGGTGGTGGTAGTAGTGGTAGTGGTAGCGGTAGAGGCAGCGGCAGCGGCAGCAGCAGCAGCAGCAGTAGCAGCAGCAGCAGCAGCTGTAGTAGTAATAGCCAATTAATAGGTGACTCCTAAAGCATCATAAATATATATTGACTATAAAACCGTTCCAAAGCAGGGGTTGCGCCAGGATTTTCCCGACGGGGGAGGGGTCGAGGGTCCCCGGCGGGAGCCGATGTCACCGACGAGAGAAAGTGGGTGCGTCGCTCAAATCTTTTGAAAGTGGTCTGGGGAGGGGCGAAAAATATGCCAATTTATGGGTTTCAAAGGTATGATTTAATCGATTCTATAGTCTAGAAATTACATATATTTTTTTTTCTCTCTGTTGAATTGTGTTTTTTCTCTTACACTGGTGCCACCCCTTTTGTAATGTAACTTACTATAGGACATCGAGAATACATAATAAGCTTTTCACTGTATATCATAAATTAGCTTGTATTCATAACACATTATTCTTATCCACAAATCAGGGTGTTGGAGCATTGTTGCAAAAAATAGCTTTATTTAATGGATTACCCTCAACCAAACATATAGTAAATAAACCAAACATATAGTAAATAAATAGATCAAGTGGTAGGCCTACTTACATTTCCTCAAGAGGCGTATTATGTGCCAGGTCATTCCAAACCCAAAGAACACACGGAACAAAGAAATGGAGATGGCATCAACAGGCTCCGCGAGCCAATCCCATAACCACGGCATCAGTATATTTCGAGAGGACGTGCTGACTTTGATATCATCTGGAGAACCATAGACTTTCTTTAATATTTCTCCATGTTTTCTGAACCGAAGATCCGAATTATCCTGACTAACCTTGTTTTGCGTAGCCATTTTTCAGGTTTGGCACTCTGCTGATCGTGTGTGTTGTGGCCTAGGCTTAAATTCATGTTGACGAACGTACCGTAGATAATACGTTATCAGCACGACCTTTACGTCTATGTACTCAGTTTAAGGGGTTCATTAATTTGGCGCAGCAACTTCCTAATAAACATTGTTCGATTTTGTTTTTATTTGTTTTGTTCAACATCAGCATTACAGAAACAAGGCCACATGGTGTACCGAAATCTTATAATTCTTCTTCTTGAACGCTAGTCGTCGTTAGACATCGCGCATTTCACTAATTTCCGCCATTCGGTGCGTTTTTGAGCAAGTGCGTGCATAGACCCGTGTTTGAAAAATCTGTTGTTGTCGGCCGCCCCTGCGGACGTTTTACCTTTCGCTCTACTTCGTGGTATGCCATTCTAGCTGGAGTGTGTTCATCTAAGCGGAGCAGGTGCCCATACCATATCAGCCTTCTTTTCTTTACTTTCTTACTCCATTCTTCGTCCCCTGTCTTTCTATATAACTCGTCATTCCTTATTTTCTCTGGCCACTTTATACCTAATATTCTTCGTAGAAACTTTCGTTGGAACACATCTATTTCATTCTCTAACAATTTGGTCATTGTCCAGAGTTCGCTGTTGTTTAGGCAGATCTTATAATTAACTACAGTAATTAATTAATTAACATACAGAAGTCTGAAACAATTATTTTCCGATTGAGTTGCATTTCCATATTGGTACTTTATAACTTAAAAGATAAATTACCGTAGGAAGGGTTGTTACGATGTACAGGACGAAATTCTCTCATATTTGAGAAAATTACTACTGACTTTAATATACCGCTAATAGAATAATTACTTCATCGCCGTAGAATTATTATTTTTCATCGACAATTGTTACAAATTTAGTTAATGTGGTATTTTTGGTTACCATATAATTGAATCAAATATAAACTGTAGGATCCAGAGATCCAGTTCTGCAACGTCACACTGAAACATTTTCTCCTGATAGATAGATATGCCTTCTACTACAAGTCTATTATACACTGATTGTAAAATTTATGTTTTCATGTAAATGTTACAGATTGTTTTCAAAATAAAGAAAATGTATATAGGCAGACACGTTATCATTTATTTTCAGTTTTACAAAAACAACATTTACAGGGCTTTAGTGCTACTAACAAAGATTCTAGGTTAAATTACTCTATTAGAAGATGACAACTTCTCAAAATAGCCATGCCATACCATTCATACATTATTACTCAAAATGTAAGGCATACCTTAAACTAACACTTGTGAAACTATGTGATGACTGTTGGCACTTTGGTTAAACATTCCCCATAATATGGTGATGATTGCAATATCACATAGATGATAAAAATTAATAAATTAGATAAACAGCGTTCATTTAACGGCCGCCATATGGTTTGTTCCACCGATAAATATTTTCATTTCCCCGCTTCACTTTATTAGTTTATTCTTATCAAAATTAATTTCAACAGATGTAAAATAAGTATTTTCAATAAGTTTGGTGCTCTCATTGTTGATTTATTCATACATCACGATGGAGAATGTAAGTATATCCGTTATAGCACAGATTCCACATACAGGATCTGTGGTTATAGTATCTAACATAAGGGCGCGTGTTTATTTATTTTGATATCATATTACCTTGTAATATGATATCCCCATTCTTCCCCAGTGGTTTACTACTGGGGAGGAAAAATGTGGCGTGGAAAGGAACTGGCCACCCTTCCACACAATACCGAGGCTTAGTACAATGGGCTAACAGCTCATCCCCCTTAGTAGATAAACGGGATTACTTTTACCTTTACCTTTATTACCTTGTAGAACGAAAACATTGCGATACAATAATTTCTTTTCATAACTTCTATTTAAAATACAGATGATGTATGCCGTTGTTTGGTTCGCAGTATCTCTGGGACTGACACTTGCAGCTGAATGGGCCCCTTATGGAATATTTTTCATCGGTTCTGGGTACAACATCCTCGATGGAAATCCGCAAGGGAGTAAGGATTATGGTGGGGCTGATCCTGGCCTTCTGTCAACTCGAAATGTCTTTGACTTTCACTTCGATGAAGATAATCTCTCAGATGATGGAAAGTATACAATTCCAGATGAGATGACAGTCTCTGTCAACAAATCGTGTACTAACACTACGAGACAACAGGCCGTAAGTGGCGGATGGGAGTACCAGAAAGGTCTAAAGTATAATCTTGGACAAAGAAGATTCAATGGTAAACACGTGCTTTCTTTGCAATATTAACAATTAATTTAGTAATTAACACATCATGTGATTCTCTATTGTCATAAATGTTACAATTCCACTTATTCTATCTATAATTATTAAAGATTCATTCTGCATCACTAACAGAATACTTGCAGGTTGATGCGAGCTCACATAATACATATTATTTTGTCATAACTTATCTTGTTGACGTATGCAAAGTAAAATTGCACCGATGATGCTCTAGGAAAGTGCATTCGTATTACCCAATTCGAATAACTGATTCTAGTTACAAAACATTGGGTTTCGATGTTCTTATCTGGTGACATGTGATTCTGATAAAATTCACCTCAGTAGCACCTGCAAATTTTACCAGATTTTCTATTGTGCTGCTTCTACAGTTATATTATTATGCCATTATCAATCACTTTCAGGAAAAATTCTTCCCTATTTTTTTTTTTTTTTTGTAGTATTTTTTCTCAAGCTTTACTTGATTTTGTCCACCAATCTTTTTCTTACATATTGGCAATCGATTGTTTGTTGAAATCCCATTTCAGAAAAGAAACCCTGGAGCCGTTGAACAAATTTAGTCAAACTATGCATTGATGTATACCTTATAGTCGGGATCTTGCATATCCCGTTGCAGCCATGTTAATAGTTATTTTTAACAGTATTTAATAATTATGTTCTAATGTGTTTCACAAGCAAAATAACGAAGATGAGAAAAGGCCAAGTTTCATAAGTTAAAAAGTAACTCACCAGAGCAATCTGTCCATAGAAATTATTAATTTATATGTTTTTATTATTCGATCAGAATCGGATATCAACGTAACAATGGAGATACTTTTTATTGGACTCGAGTTTACTGCCAGTCTCGGTAAGTAACTGCAATGCAAAATTTAAAATCAACAAATCCTTAGCAGAATACACTGTAACTAAATGGAATTAGCAAATTATCAGTATTTTCAGTTTAATCTTGAAAATGCATAGACTTTCAGAAAAACTGAGACATGTAGATTTAGGAGATATCACTGGTGTTTCTGTTGCAGGATTTGAGTTTATTGTGGAAGGCACACGTGACTTGGAATATGTATATTACGCCGAATCAAATGAATGTTCACTTGCCAAGGCATCGTTGAAGTTGGATGAAGTTAAAAGTTCAAAGTATTTTCTAAGTCGTTCTTTTGTAATCAATGCCTGCTCACTTCCGAAGTTGTACGACCAACAGACTTACTTTGATTTCATTGATTTGTGGGGAACTGTAAGCATAATTAATGAGCCTACTTTAACTGCAATTAAAGTGTTTTAAGTTATTAGTCCTTCATAGGATAAAACACTTACAATTTGAAACACATCCTTAGCTCCCTGGACCAACATTCAATAATCATGGTATTGTTTCTACCAAACACCGACATTCCTGGGTTAGAGATAGACAATAATAATATAGTCCCTTGCCAAAGACACATTGAAGTGGAATATACAAGCGACTTGTCAAAACCGACCTCAGTGCTAAACGACATGCAACAACCACTCTCTACACACAGACCATTTTCAAACCACTACAGTTTTCACCATTTTGGTGAGGCAAACGTCGTCACTATTTATGATATCAGTGATGACTCCAAATATTAGTAAAGGAGTGTCTAGAGTAAATTGGTTGATGCAATGTCTTCAAATGTCGACTGTGAGCCTATGAGAAAGACTACCCAGGAGCGTGGGGCACAGCGTGTAAGGTGTTGGACTTCTGATCGTGAGATAGATCGGGCTGAGTTCGAGTCCGACGCCAGTCGCATTGCTTGTGTCCTTGGGCAAGGTGCTTTACTTACGTTTGCCTCTCTTTACCCAGGAGTATATAAATGGGTACCTGGTAGGATGTTGGGGGGGGGGGGTATTGAACGTATTAGCTTGTGCGTGTAAACAGCATGACTTGGGGTACCCCCCGAGAGCAGAGAAAGTTGCACAAAAATTTGCTTGTTTGCCAACTCTGTATTCAGTGACCAGGGAAATACTTACGTCAGTGCCTTGTATATTCCTTGGTTTTTGATAAGCGCCGTATGAATCCGGATGAAAAAAATAAAAATAAATAAATAAAACCTGACCTTATCCTCTTGCATATACGTATTATTATTAGTCATAATTTGTTTGTGTTCAGTTGGCCAACTAACAGGGCTTAAATTGTAAGACTCCTGACTAGGTAATTATATAATGTCCTCCTGTTGTCTGTGTACCACCATCTAAGTAACATCCTATCATTATTTTAGCATGTAGTAGTGGAAGTTGAGTTGGGTGTTAGGCAGTCGGAACGCTATACCAGTTCAAGGAATGAATTTGTTCGCTACGCCATGAGAGAGGTAATTACATTATATTATATTATAATTAAAATAAGTCCATCAATGACTGATCATTTTTGGTACTTCGATGTGTCTACCCCCCTAAATAGAGACGACAGGGTATTAAGGTGCACGTGAAAAGAAAAAATAGAAATAATTTATTTTTATTTGAATATCAATTTAAAATAAATGATAATTTTCAGGCAGAGGCTAGCGTCGGAGTTGGGGTAGAACTGTTTAACTGGGCAGCATCCATTGTTATTGATATTGACCGTTTCCATCAGAGTATGACCAAACAGACAAAATTTGGATCAAACCGAGTTGTTATTACCAACGGAAACGAAGAACTATCAGAACCAATAAAATTGAATTTAATTCGAATGGATGAGGTTAGTGTGAATTAGAGGTTCTTTATATTATAAAGTATGTCATTTTTAAAATGAATGTATAAGGTCTATATATATTTACCGCTGTCTCTTATACACATCTAGATGTGTATAAGAGACAGTATATATATATATATATATATTGCAATCGTTACTACTTTAACTAATACTTTTACTAATAGTTATTAAATTTTGGAAATGAATATAGCATAGTACTAATATTGACTCTAATGCTCTATCAACCTCTGTTCTTGAATCCAGTTGTTTACCAATGCATTCTGGACACAATTCAACTCTTACACAGAACAAGGTCTGTGTTCAAAGGCATGGAAGTCCTCCCTTCCTGTCACGAGACTCAACGTGCAACGTGCAATGTTGGCATACCCCTTATGGCGACATGTGGAAAAGGCAGAGGGTATAACAAATACTTTTTCCTTTAAACAATGTTTATATATTCACCATAATAATCAGCCTAGGCTGACTTTGTATACATGCGCTTGTGTCGATATAATTATGTACATTTTGAAAGTTAAAGAAGGGGAGAGTACGAAAATAGTTACGGTATATTAAAAAATAGAAAACTGACTCTCGGTAATTAAGTTTGGAATACAGTGACATAGGATGGGTCTATCCATAAATAGTGCTAAAATTAAAAATTTTAAATAACATTCTTTATAAATACGACCAGTGGCCCCTGAGTAATATTTAGGTTTTCAGATGAATAATTATTGATTATTGTGTTCATTTCAATTGTTTCATTTATGTGCCACCAATTTTCTTGTTGAATTTACTGAAGATCAGTATACCTTGTCCAGAAATTTACTTCTTTAAATTCAAAATACGGCTCCTGAAAAATTGAAACGTCGGAATAGCTTTCAGTTCAGCACCTTCTACTGTCCATAACTCAGGTTTATGGCCCTTGACGCTTTTCATCAAAGGTCCTGGCAATTTTATTTGCACTGGGCCCATTTTGACCTAGCTACAACATGAATTTATAAGATGTATTTTCTTGTTCGGCAGATCCCGTTGTACAAATTCCAATAACGTGGCCTTTGGGAGCCTACGGGCTCCCAAAGCCTGCTGCCGGTTGTCCACCGAATATCGACTTTCCTTGGCATAGTGGCTATCGCTACCAAGACACTGAAAACGACAGAGCCAATAACTACTGGTCCGATCCTCTACACTTCGAAGGTCCTTACAGTGTAGACAACATGGAACAAGACTTTTGTATGAAGACTCAGTATAAAGGAGGCGAATACGACTGGACCTGGCCAGAAGGATCGTATTGCATCTTCAAAAAGGGCAGTACTTGTCCAGATGGTATGAAATAGTTTATAATATATGGATCAATTATACATAATAGAAAATATAGTATATCATAATAGACATGAAATAGTATACTATATTAATAGTATTTTATAGAATAATATGATATAAAATAATACGGTACCGGTATGTGCTAATTTATTAATAGGGTAAACATTATTATAACATTTACATTTTCCTTTTTGTTGGCACTGCACTTAATAATAATAATAATAATAATAATTATTATTATTATTATTATTATTATTATTATTATTATTATTATTATTAGGCTTATTGTCATATTTATATAAATTATTATTATTAGTTATATTTTATTGTTTATCATCATTATCTTTTGTAATCATTTACTTTTATATAAACATGTGTTGACAAATTTAATTTTTTAAAACGTCAAAGAACGTAGTAAATTCTCAGAATTAGCTATAAATATAATATAAAATGCTTTTCAATAGGTCTTGACGAGGGATACATATACTGGGACGATGAAAATCGCCACAACGCAAATTCATTTGGAGGGTCGGTGCCCGAAGGAAAGTACGATGACAATACCCGCATTGAGTATTGTTGCAAGAGGGATGTGATCAATGCACGCGCTACCTACCTGCCGACGGACTCACCATTCTATCTTTTGTCGGAATCAAACGGATGCCAAAAGGTAATTAACAACAATTAACAGTACTTTAAGTAACGTTTTGGTTTTATATAGATGCATGTGGATAGATCGTAGGGTAGGGGAAAGGCTGACCACTGTATGGGAAACATTTGAACTAATATTTCTTTTCAACCGAGTCTTCTGGGACACATATTTTGAAGTATTGACAGCAACAATAATGATGATGATGATGATGGTGGTGATGATGATGATTATGAAGATGATGATGATGTTGTTGATGATGATGATCATGATGATCATGATGATGATGATGATGATAATGATAATGGTGATGATAATGATGATGATGAGGATGATAATGGTGATGATGATGATGATGATGATAATGATGATGATGATGATAACGATGATGATGATGATGATGGTGATGGTTGCGATGGTGATGGTGATGGTAATGGCGGTAGTATTGATGAGGATGATGTCGACATCAACGACGATATTGATATTGTTGATGTTGAATAAAAATAACGATTGTGATGACAGCAACGATGGCGACTACGTATGATCTGACGACAATGGTACTAATGGTGATGACATTACTGCTATAGATAATGATGATTATGGTATTAATGACGATGAAACATATTAGGTCTACACACATTTAATTAAAAAGAACTGTCTTTTGTTTTCATGTAGGTACACGGCATGGACGTAACCGAAGAGTTTTTCCGTTGGGATGATGAAGATAGCAGCAACAGTAATGACAAAGGAGGCGCTCATCCTTTTGATTCTGGCGACAAAACCAACCATGTCCTCCACTACTGCTATTACCAGCCGGTCTAGTATAATTCCAGATAAGGACGGCCTTCAAGACGTCAATATTCCTACGCTTAAATCGGAAGCATCAGATTCAATGTCAAGGAAATACACGTAGACCTACACAAAAATAATTAAATTACATAGAACGAGAATGTATCTAAATATGATTTCCATAAATTTAAAGGAACGCTTCTAAAAATGGAGCAAACGATCGGTTTGTAATACATACTAAAGTGACATGTATGTTGATTATCTAAAACTTTCATTTGAAATAAATTGGTTATAGGCTAGGCCTACTAGCTAAATTTGTTTTGTGTTTTTATTTGATAAGCCTATACCTCGTATTGAATTGAAGGCAGGCATATAAAAGGAGCATAAATCCGTGCTTATGACTCATAACATATAGTACTTTCTGCATAATGGATGCAGATAATTTACCTTTGTACCTTGTAAGGACAGATGCCACCTTATCACGTATTATCATATATTTATTGATAATGGTAAGCTTATGCACGTTATTACATCCGGGTACGGTGGACTAGTGCGCTGGCTGATTGTATCTTGTGTTTGATAAAATTATGCCATATGTGTGTACGTGGAATTTTATTCGTGTGAAATTATTGCAATTATTTATTTCCATAATAGCAATATTCGTGAACCTATCTCAGGGTAGCCCTAACAGGTGCTCGTCCAATGGGGGCGGGAACAACGGTGAGTAGAATTTCACAACTGTACTATTTTTAGTAAGCTGTCGTTTATACTATAGTCAGGTCTATCATGTTACAAAAATATTCAACAACAATATGTTATAATTAGTTTATAGAACCAAATAGAAGGGCTTCTCTTTTCGATATAGTCCTAATTAGCTAGCATTATCATCATTATCATCACCATATTCTTGTATCTTGTATGCGTACTCACCAACGCTCCTACTGGAGCCAAACGTTCAAGTGGTATGCACAATGGAAGGGTATCATCATCGTCATTATCAACGTCATTATTAATATCATCATTATCATCATCATCGTCATCATCATTAGTGTCACCATGATAAAGAAGAAAAGGGAAAAGGTACAGAAATAAAAGAAAGAATAAAAAGGAAAAGTTAAAATGTAAAAAAAGGAAGAAAACAAAAGGTAAAGAAAGAAAAAGAAAAAGGAACAAAAGGTAAAGAAAGAAGAAGAAAAAAGAAAGAAAACAGAAAGGTAAAGAAAGGAAAAGAAACAAGAACGAAAAACAAAATGAATGAAAAAAAAAAGGAAATTAGAAATAAAAAAGGAAATTAAAGAAGAAAGGAAAAGGAAAGGAAAGAGACAGGTGATAGTAATGAAAGGAAAGAAAAGAAAGGAAAAAGGAAGAAAAGACATGAAAAAAAATAGGGAAAAGGAAAAACATATCAATATCAATATCAATATAAATCTTTATTCATCCTACATGGGGCAATGCCTAAAAACAGGACTGAATAAAAAGGATAATAATAAAGAAATACAATAAACACAGAGTTTACATACAAAGATAAAAAGCCCATAGCATAGGCCTACAATCTTAGCTTTATTTCATTTGCAAAATATTAAATTATTTATTCTTATTTAAAAGCCTAATACCGGTTGGAGCGAACGAATCTAACTTCCGTTTTGTCCTAAGCACTAGACTTTTGTACCGGAGACCATGTGGTAATATTTCAAACTCATGGAATAGGACATGTTCTGGGGTTTCCAAAATATATTTCAATTTAGCTAAAATGTGTTTGTCACTAAAGGATGACAAACTACGCAATGGACTTCCGGTTTTTTTTTTAACACAAGTTTACTATTCTTTGCAAGGCGTTCCTATCTTTAAGACTTAAATTACAAAACCAACATATAGGCCTAAAAGAAAAGGCTATGCACTTTCAACAAACGAGTTATAAAAAACTTTTACTATAGACGTATTTGCTTTAAATTCATTTAGTTTTTTTAAGTATGTATAATCGCTGGTTTCCTTTTTTAATTAAGGTATCAGCATTTAATCCCCAGCTGAGATTGTCTTCAAATATAGTACCAAGGTATCTGTAAGATTAATTTTTAAAAATAATTAAATTACTGGGTTATTTGAAAAATATTTATAACTTTAAGTAAATCAAGTTATTGATATACTTTTATAGTTGATATTCATTTATTTTTTCGCGCAACACCTTCAGGCTGCTACCAACAAGAGGAAACAGCCGTTAAGAAACTGTATGCAGTGGAAGCTTACTACGAAGGAATGAGAATTCTGAACTAAGCAGTGCGCATGTGCGGTTACCAAATAGCGTCTCCGAAATATTATGAAAACACAGTGAGCATGCGCTTTGAAATGCTGAACAGACAGTGAGAAGCTGAAGCATAAAAATCGGTTATGATGGAATTTATCTATAACTCGTCCAACCCGGCCAACAGAATAATAAAAATAGTAAAATATATTTTTTTTAATATTGAATACAAATATATAAAATAATATTTAGAAATAATAATATTATTATTATCATTAATAATAATAATAACTCATCCAACCCGGCCAGAAGAATAATAAAAATAGTAAAATATATTTTTAAAAATATTGAATACAAATATATAAAATAATATTTAGAAATAATAATATTATTATTATCATTAATAATAATAATAACTCGTCCAACCCGGCCAACAGAATAATAAAAATAGTAAAATATATTTTTTTTAAATATTGAATACAAATATATAAAATAATATTTAGAAATAATAATATTATTATTATTATCATTAATAATAATAATAACTCGTCCAACCCGGCCAGCAGAATAATAAAAATAGTAAAATATATTTTTTTAAATATTGAATACAAATATATAAAATAATATTTAGAAATAATAATATTATTACTATCATTAATAATAATAATATTAATAACAACAATAATGGTAAGAACACACGCTAAAGAAAGTCCATGTTAAGCCTAAACAAAATTAAATATTACACTGGTTTATGAATTATACTTTTCACATAATGTACAGTATTAATCCTGTGACCGCAAGGTAAATAACTTTGTGGTTATTGTTACACCAGTCGCAAACCAATTCCTGTACCTGTAAGCTATGATTTTTATGTGTCATACCATAAAAGAAATGTTATTGAAGATGGTAGGTCATCCTCAAGAATACGTTAATTTATTTAAGTTTTGAAATACAAACCAGTCATAAGTTAAAGATGTTGCGGCGGGTTTTTTTATAGGAATATTTCTTGTTAAATTAAATGAAACTCTAAATACTTTAGCCCACTCCCTGCTGTAATAGAGGCATAGGGGTATTTTAAATTATGCGCTATATAAGTTCAAAATTGTTATTATTACATGTATTATTATTATTATTATTATTATTATTATTATTATTATTATTGTTAATTATACGTTGGCAACGCCATCTTCATCATCAGCATCAACAGCATAATCATCATCATCATTATTATATTTTAATGCTATTTTGAACAATATCAACAATACAAATGATCATTGTACTTGTTTATATTTAATCAGACACAATACAAATCCAACCAGTAGTGCGACGTACAAGGACAATAATTGAATGCAATATCATTCACGCTTATAACATCATTTGGTATCGTTTCAATGAGACAATACAAACATCAAGCATATACAAACCACCGTGCAACGACTCCGGCAATCCACAACTACGGGACGAAGGCCAACAACTAGTGATCGTCTACGCAAGGTCATGCCACACTGCCATATATACCTGTGTCGCAAATGACTCGGATGTCGTTACCCATTCGACAGACTTACGGGTCGTAGGTAGGTTCCTTAATCGTAACACTCCATTATGCAAAAAACTTTGTGTTAAAAACCACAGGTTAAACAATGCAATTAAACTAACTGTAAAAAGCAGTTATTCACTAACACCATCATTTTTTCATTTGTATTTTTTTGTGGTTTGTAACAAACTTAAAACGTCCGTCTGTATTTATTACAATAGATAAATGACCATAATTATCTATGCGCCATGGCAACATATATTCGCTATAGTTTCTGTCGGCATTAGTGTATAAACTTACCTGGTATGCTCATATGTATTTTCTGCTACACATCTAGATGTGTATAAGAGACAGATCATAATTATCATCACCATATTCTTGTATCTTGTATGCGTACTGACCAACGCTCCTACTGGAGCCAAACGTTCAAGTGGTATGCACAATGGAAGGGGATCATCATCGTCATTATCAACGTCATCATTAATATCATCATTATCATCATCATCGTCATCATCATTAGTATCACCATGATAAAGAAGAAAATGGAAAAGGTACAGAAATAAAAGAAAGAATAAAAAGGAAAAGTTAAAATGTAAAAAAAAGGAAGAAAACAAAAGGTAAAGAAAGAAAAAGAAACAAAAGGTAAAGAAAGAAGAAGAAAAAAGAAAGAAAACAGAAAGGTAAAGAGAGGAAAAGAAACAAAAAGA